AGTCCCCCAAGAAGACCAAGAAACCTGCTGTGGCCAACAAACCAGCCAAGAGCCCCAAGAAGGCCGCAAAGAGCCCTAAGAAGCTGGCAAAGAAAGCCCCTGTGGCCAAGAAAGCTCCTGCCAAGAGGGCTGCAAAACCCAAAGCCAACAAACCAGCAGCCAAGAAGAAGTGAGCCCACATCAGCTGAACACCATCACACTCACAAAGGCTCTTTTAAGAGCCACACAGCTTCACTCAAGACAAGCTTCCTCTCTGCTCTCACTTACAAAACTTTCTAACTTGACTCAGGCTGCTGACAAACACTTTGCTACTACATATTGCTTTTAGTTGTGCACACACCATAATGTCATGGCATGGAATAGGAAACTTACAAACTCTCAGCTGTGCCTCTTAAAGCACCTGTTCAATATTACTCTGCTTATTTTCTATGGAATCTTGGAAGTTTCCAATGCTCTTTAAACACATTTAAAGCTGTGCAGTCAGAATGACCTGCTTTTAGTAGTTTGGATTTGTTTTATAGCCTATTAGGAATTTAATCCATTCTCTTTAATATTAAATAATATTTGGTGTCATTTACATTTATCTTTTTATATTGGTTTGGCTGAAACTTTGTCTATCTTGGCCAGGACTTTGCTGGTCTCCCTGGAAAAATCAAGTAAATCAAATCAAAGTTAGAGCCAGTAAATGGTTTATGACTGTAACTGTCATCACTTGTGACTTCCAGAATCTGCTTTATTGGCCAAAGGAACAGCTCAGGCCATTGTAGGGAGTCCTCTTCTGGATCTGGACTCACTATACACTGACCGGATCCAGAGGAGGGCCAGACGGATTGCTGCAGACCCCCCCCACCCAGGCAACAGTCTGTTTGTGCCTCTTCCCTCCAGGAAAAGGTACAGGAATATAAAGACTAAAACAAACAGACTGAGACACAGCTTCTTCCCCAGAGCTGTGAAATCAATCGCCCCCCCAAACCCTAGTCATACACAACCTCCCCCCTATGGACAGACACAGAACACTGGACCTCACCCCTCTTCCTAAAGACTGAGATTTGCACTGAGCTGCACCTTATAATGTTACTACACTCTTTTGCTGCTAATGTGCTGCTGACCTGATTAGGTCCCATACATCCCTTTTTATTTGTTCATACTCTCATATTGACTTATACAACTGTGTGTTATGTAAATAATGTGTCTGTCTTTTAAGCCGAGAGCTTCCGGAAAAAAATTCATTGTGCTATGCATAATGACAATAAAGATTCTTGACTTGACTGATGTTTTACAGCTTTTAAAATTTTTATTTAGAACTGAACTGAGTTAATGACAGTCCAGTGCCGCTACGTGTCGCCTTGAACGCTGCAGATACTGCAGTCAAATATTTTTTTTACTTTGAGCCACTGGCCCAGTTTGTTAGTTAACAACAATTATTTATACACAACTCAATTTACTGATTTAGATCTTTATTAGAAAACTGAGCTTCCACTGTTTGTGATCTGTTGACTTTTAAAAGTAACATGAACTATGCTGATATCTCACTGCAGCATAAATAAAGCTGATGATAGTGAAATGAAGAAACTGTCCTTGTGCCTGGTTGTCTTGGTGCACAGTGACCTGTAACGCCGTCCAGAGGGGAGGAGTTCAAACAGATTGTGTCCACGGTGTGAGGGGTCAGCAGTGATCCTCTCCGCCCTCCTTTTGACCTGTGAGGTGTACAGGTCCTCCATGGAGGACAGGCTCACACCAATGCCCTTTTCTGCAGCCCCGACTGTCCACTGAAGTCTGTACTTGTCCTGTTTGGTTGCTGAGCCAAACCAGACAGTGATGGAGGTGCAGAGAACAGACTCAATGATTCCTCTGTAGAACTGTATCAGCAGCTCCTGGGGCAGGTCGAACTTCCTGAGCTGACAGTTTAACTGGACAATAACCCTCAGTGCAATACCTGTAAATGTACCTTGTACAGATTATACAGATCTGTACAGGTCTCTAGTTTTAAATACTCTATTTTTATTTCTACTATCTCATTTCACAGTGAGCATTCCTTTGTCTGTCTGCATTGTTTACTGCCTGTTAATACTGCTTATTTTGTTATATTACAGCCTTATGCTGGTTTACTGCTTACTTGCCCCTTGCATGTGGATATGAACATACACATTGAGGGCTGATGTAACAGAGTCAAATTCCTCATATGTCCGACACACCTGGCCAGGGTCATGGTCAAGAATCTTTATTGTCATTATGCATAGCACAATGAATTGTTTCCGGCAGCTCTCGGCTTAAAAGACAGACACATTATTTACATAACACACAGTTGTATAAGTCAATATAAAAATATGAACAAATAAAAAGGGATGTATGGGACCTAATCAGGTCAGCAGCATGTTAGCAGCAAGAGTGTAGTAACATTATAAGTTGCAGCTCAGTGCAAATCTCAGTCTTTAGGAGGAAGTTTGAGGTCCAGTGTTCTGTGTCTGTCCAAAGGGGGGAGGTTGTGTGTGTGACTAGGGGTTAGGGTTGTGATTGATTTCACAGCTCTGGGGAATAAGCTGTGTCTCAGTCTGTTTGTTTTAGTCTTTATATTCCTGTACCTCTTCCTGGAGGGAAGAGGCACAAACAGACTGTTGCCTGGGTGGGTGGGGTCTGCAGCAATCCGTCCGGCCCTCCTCTGGATCCGGTCAGTGTATAGTGAGTCCTGTTCCAGAAGAGGACTCCCTACAATGCCCTGTGCTGTCACTGTGGAGGATGAGTGAGTGACTGAGTGAATCTGCTCAGACTGATGAAGCCTGAACCTGCAGCAGTGAAGCTTCATCACTGGAGGACAGTGACACATCACAGACACTGAATCAGGACCATGAAACAACATTGTCCAACATTAGTCACCTAACTGTTTGTATTCCTGAACATTTAACTCTTTAAGCCTTCGAGGTAGAGATCAGGTTCAGGAAGTGTTAAGGCTGTAGTTGTTACTGGTGACCAGCATCTTTGACATAACAGCATCAACGTCTTCAAAATCCTCATCTTAGTTGAACAAAAGCTCAGAATGAAGGTGTTGCACCAGTTTCACTAAGACATTTCAAGCTGGTTCAACGCGAACTTCACTACTGTGTTTGTGGGGTGAATGGCATCACAGTCATGGGTAAACATGGGTGTTATGTCGAGTGAAGAGAACTGGGCTGAGCACACAGCCCTGTGGTGTGCCTGTGTTCAGGACCAGTGTGGATGATGTGCAGCTTCCGATTCTCACCACTTGAGGCCTGTTAGTGAGGAAGTCCTTAAATGGTAAATGGCATTCCCAGATTGTACAGTTTCAGTGCCATTTTGTCTGGGATTACAGTATTAAATGCCGGACTGAAGTCAACAAACTGCATCCTGACATAAGTGTTAGTTAGATGGATAGAAGTTGTACATAGCAGTGGTCTGTCTGCAGGCAGAGAACCACAGCTCCCAGTGAGTCCAGTACAATCACCATGCAGGTTTTACTAGAAGGTGACAGGTCAAGTCTGAGTTGATCAGACTCCTGGTACAATAATCAAAGTACAACGTGATGAACTCAGAGTTTTATCACAGAAAGATCCAGTGAAGAAAGAAAAGTCGCCAAAGTGAAAATGAGCTGAGCTGAATTGTTTAGTCTCTTTCTACAGCTCAGTGACTTGTAACCTGAGAAACTGAACAGCAGCTGTTTGTCACTGTCTGATTTACTCATGTCCACTCAGTTTTCAGACTTTGTTATAGTTGTGCAGTGTCACATGAAAACACACTTGGACACAGTTTCTCTTCATGAACAACAGGAATTAAATCAGAATAGAATCTCACTGAACTGTTAAAACAACTGGACTGGTGTTATGACCTGATATTCATAGTAATTCATCTGCAGGTGGTTTGAATGAATCATCAGCTACTTTAACACCTGTTTATTCCTTATTATCCTGAAGAGGAGCTGGTTTCCAGGAGGCACATGCACATCCAATCAGCAGACCTCTGATGTGACCCAGCTCAGGGCAGATGTTTTACTGTCTGACCCAACTAACTGTAGGATACACTGCACAAAAAGTCATAACAGCATAGTTTGTTACTTTTGAGGCAAATACCACTGAAATATTTACAGTTATCAGACCATGACAGAAATGATCAGCTGGAAAAATCATCTCTGGTAAAAGGCCTGAATGTGTTCAACGTATGATTTAATGTCAATGTCAGCTGTAAGAGTTTTCTGTTGACTTGATTGAAGGCAGCAGACAGATGTGTTGGTAAAAGTGCAGCCTCTGATTTGCAACGTGTTGCGTCAGAGCATAGTGCTATTACCATTTAACACACAAGTAATGGGTTGGATCTAGATATTCTGCCTGGAAATGAACTTTTGATACTGTAAATAGGCTTATTTTATAATACAAACACTGCATGGTTACATCCATAACATTTAATAAAGAGGCCTAGAAAAAGTTCCTGACATCACATAAGAATGTATCTGGTTTAAAGGAAAACATGAGGATTAAGCTCTTTGTAGGAGTGTGTGGCTCTTAAAAGAGCCTTTGTGGTTTGGAGGCATCAGCCTTGGTCCAGATTTACTTGGCCTTGGCAGGTTTCTCGGTCTTCTTGGGCAGCAGCACGGCCTGGATGTTCGGCAAGACGCCGCCCTGAGCGATAGTGACACCGCCAAGGAGCTTGTTGAGCTCCTCGTCGTTGCGCACGGCCAGCTGCAGGTGACGGGGGATGATCCTGGTCTTCTTGTTGTCACGGGCGGCGTTTCCAGCCAGCTCCAGGATCTCAGCGGTCAGGTACTCCAGCACAGCCGCCAGGTAGACCGGGGCTCCGGCACCGACACGCTCAGCATAGTTTCCTTTGCGCAACAGCCTGTGAACACGACCCACGGGGAACTGCAGCCCAGCACGAGAGGAGCGAGTCTTTGCCTTAGCGCGGGTCTTTCCGCCAGTCTTTCCTCGGCCACTCATTTTCGTTCTCTTTCTTGAGATAAAACTCACAAACTGTGGTTCTAACGGTCCAGAGTTTCTGTTTTATGTCCGCGGAGCGCGGGACGGTTCGCCACGCACCAACCAGAGACGAGGCTTCCCGCAGTGCAGCAGAGGAGGACCCGCTCTAATTTTAGCGCACAATTTCAACCCGCTTTCCGCCAATAAGCAGCGGAGGTTCAGGCGGTGGGTCGCTCCTCCAGGCGGGGCTGAGCACCAGGAAAAGCAGCTCACCAATCAGAACCCGGAGCTCTGAAGCTGCGTCACCGTTTCACGCCCGGCCCAATAGTTTAAGAGCAGCGGATTTCCTCATACTAGGTTATTTTTTATTCTGTTACGGAAAATGGCAAGAACCAAGCAGACCGCTCGTAAATCCACTGGAGGCAAAGCCCCCAGGAAGCAGCTGGCCACCAAGGCTGCCCGTAAGAGCGCCCCGGCTACTGGTGGCGTGAAGAAGCCTCAACGCTACAG